GTGGACTGCTCGATCCAAGACCCTACATACATACATACATACATACATACATACATACATACGTACGTACATACATACATACATACATAGATACACACATACATACTTACACTTACATACAAGTACATGTGAGCAAACGCGCTCGAATCTTCCGCTTGTGTTTTGGCATGCGATCTTCTTCACATTATCCCGCCATGCCCCTTTGCAGGTTTGCTTGCAGAAAGAATGGGACGGCGAGTCCCTCAGTGAGGCGCGCCACGACGCCAACCCGGAAAGTGAGAGCCCGAATAGGGAACCTGCTGATTCTCAAACTTCCCCGTTCTGAGTGGGCTTCTCGAACCCTGAATAAACCCTTGCAGCCTGAACCCGAAGCCGTTCCCACTTGACGAAGACCCAGTCGTCACTAAGACATTGGAATCCCTGCTTGAACCTCAACCCTTCTCTGAGCTAGACCTAAAACGGGGTCTATGGGCATCCGGGTCGAGACGCGGTGACCAAGGTTGTCTCATGACTCATGCGTAAGACCTAAGCCGAATACGCTTCTGAGGCCTTTCATCCGTAAGCCCTAAGCCCAAAACATTAACTCCTTCGAAGCACCAGCCCGGAAAAGGATGACCAATTGGATGCGGACGGGGAGTCGTTCTGTGAGGCTGCTGCACATGTAGGTTTGTTGGGCTCCGGGCTAACCGTTCCAGATTTGTCCAAACTGTGGGTGGAGGGCGTCCAGGGTTTTCAGCCAGAGGGGCAGGGACGGATTGCAATCCGGCGGCTGAGCATGGACGGAACCGTGCGAAGGCTCGAAGCTGGTAGGGAGTCTCGGCGTAGGGCGTAGTGCTTGAATATTCGGCAAGGGACGTTCAGAATGGCCCCGAGATATGACATGGATAAGTGAGGACAGCTAGTACCCAATCTGCGGAGCGCCGAAGCCGGCAAGCCTTCAGGTTTGGAAGGTCAAGGGTACAAGCCCTCAGCAATTTTTCCAACCACAATCTAGCCACATCCGAAGGCCCAAACCCCGAAAGCATTCCGAGACCAGTTGTCCGAAAGTACATTCGCAAACACCTGAAGCCCCAAGCGATCAGTGAAAATCGATATAAATTAGAGCCCCATTGAAAACATCGGCAGAGTGGCTTCAGGCCAGTCAGGCTGCATGGCCTGTGCTCGGACTCACCGAGTGGCCTCTGGGCATTGGCATGGACCCAGGTGCCTCGCTCGCAATATTCACTCAGGGGCTTCTCACAAGTAGGGGGTCCTTATCATCATAGTGAGGATCTGGAGCTTAGAAATCCAATTAGCTTCCCACTGCCACCGAGCGGAGATGCTTCTATCACCTCAGACAGCTCTTATTGTTTAGGAAGTTGGGAAAAAAGGATACTTCGAACCTTCCGTTAAGCAAGGTTGTCAAGGAAACGAGCTTCACAGGGTGGCCAGGATGCTCGGTTAAGCTTGTGCTATGCCAAGAACAGGAACCTACAGGGCTGAAGGGTTTTAGACGTCGTCGCATGAACGGAGTATGCGACTGCAGATCCCGAGTCCCTGACCCCAGTAAAGGCTCGTTTAATGGCATTTAATGGCGTGCCATAACTCATGGTAGAGAGCTTGGCCCTGAACTCATTCAGTGTCCCGGTCCCTTGGATTCATTGGATATCTCTAAGATTGTCGTGGAAGGCTTGCAAGGGAAGAGACTTGCAAGCTCATGAAGTCGTTCGACCTCGGTGCAGCTTCTTAATGCTTCGCTTCATGTGATCGGCTGTGGTCAAGACTGGGGAGGGGAACGAAGCAATTTCAGAACCGAACGGGCGGCCGCGATCTTAAGCGCATTGCTGAGGTGGAAGACACGCTTCTGCGAGAGCTGGGGAGAAAAAGGGCTCGGCTCTTCTGGGTTTGGAAGGAGCAAAAGCCGGAAGTACTGGTACACTGAACATTCTGGCATGCCCTTCACAGCAGTAATGGGTTCATGCCCGCAGATACAAACACAAAATTGGTCGTACATGCCCAAATCGAGAATTGACGACTGTAGTGGTGAAACACTTTCTCAGAAGGGTGTCCAAACAGGTATAGCCGTATAGCTATTTTCATGTACATAGAGCTCGGGCTCAAAAGCTGCCTGCATTTTAAGGTATGTGAGGAAGTCAGCAAGTATGTATGTTGTGCCTACAGTAGTGTATGCATGCATGCGGGTCTATGTTTATTTGCGTTTATAGCTACCTAACTGGCTAGTTGTCAGGCTGGCTGGGTAGCTAGCAAGCAAGCAAGCAAGCTAGCTAGGACCAACCACCCAACCAAACAACCAAACAAACAACCAAACAAACAAGCAACCAATCAGCCAACCAACCAACCAAGCAACTAAGCAGGGAGCGAAGGAACGAAAACGATCCTCTAAGCATCTTACCAACCCGCTGACGAGCGAAGGAACGATCGAACGACCGACCGAACGAGCGATCCGACCAGATGACTAGCCACTTAACCATCTAGCCATTTGACCATCTAACTGTCCAGTTATCTACTTCTCGAACAAGCACTAACTGGCCGCCTAGCCACTTAAACCCCTAAACGCACAGCCCAGGCGCCAAACCCTAAACCCTGAAATCCTGAAGCCCTAAGTCCTAAACCTTATCAGGTCGGAGCCTCTTGCAGGCAAGGCGATGGGTCGAACAGGAAAGGCGTGCAGAGGCGGCAGACAGTAGACGGTGCAGGAAAAACCGCGTCGGGTTTCGGCCCCATCCAGGGCTTACAGTGAAACTAGAAGACTGGTTGGGATTTAGGGGTTTACAGTAACTAGGACGGAGTTCGATTGTGTTTTGGTTCAGGAGTTCTTGCGCAAGGTTTGGGGAGGTAGCTCCCACTGACGCCTCTTCTGATGTTTTCCGTGGTGCCAGCCCCGAAAAGTTCAACTCAGGGGCTTGGTTGAGGGTTTAGTTCTGAGCAGAGGGAGCCCCCGGGCGTCGAGGCAAGCCCGCTGCAAAAAGGTATTAGGGCTGGACAACGAGGCCCGTTGCAAAAAAAGGTGGTATTGGACAGATCCGCGCCTTCAGGTGATTGCACAAGTCCCGGTGCAAAAAGATAGATCCGCACTGAGCTTCAGAGTGTGGGCGGACAGGAAGATCCGTGGAGATGTACTTAGCTTAGGGAAGGCAAGTGGAGACTGCGCAAGGTTTCTTCAAGGTTTGACTGTTGCCGTAAACCCGAAAAACCCCTAAGTACCCCCTTGTCGATGCATCTGTCGCCGCTCTCGAACTCATGCCGACCTTCGAAATACAGACACCCTGAAACCCAGATGCCCTGCAAAAAGAATTGGTCCACCCCCGCTAGTCTACCCTCAAATTTTGATTTTCCTGTCCTAAGAAGAGCAACACTATGCCAGAAGAGACCTCGAAGGCTAGACCAGACATCAAGCTCTTGTCAGCTTACACCTGGGCCCGGCTTATCCTGGGTGCCAGCTCACTTAGCCTCGTTCCACCCGGGCAATGCGCGGCGCATGGCAGCAGCTTTGTCTGGAGAGGCGGCATGACGATGCCTTGATTTGAACATGCTCGAGACGTAGGTTGTGTTTCCTTGCGTGGGTCGATTTCGGGTTTTGAGCCGTTTGGCTGCAACCGGAAGAAATGATTCATATGCTATCACTCCGCATGAAAAAGAGGCGTTGAAGGCACCTCCACAGCCCTGCGACGGGACCAGGGTAGTTCTCTAAACTAGGGTCCCTTTTTAGGTCCCCAATGTAGTACGGCACCCTGATAAAAAGGACCCTAAACCCTAGACCCTAAACCCTAAACCCTAAACCTTAAACCCTAAACCCTAAACCCTAAAAGGGACCCTCATGTAGAAAACTGCCCATGCCAGGCCTGAGTTCCATTGGGACTGGGAGACCTTCGCCAGGCCGCTCTTTCCCTACCATGGCCACTTATAATATACTTTAATATGATATATAATATGATAATTTTGATAATATATACTATAATATGATATAATATATAATCATATAATATAATATAACATAGTACTTGGCTTTTTTCAGTATGTCGGTTCTTCTGCCAGGAGCCCTTTTGCCCTAGAGCAGCTGCCAAGCTCCAACCGCCGGAGTGCCAGGAGATGGCATGGGCGGTCCAGCTTCCAAACGGCCGAGCAGCGGCCTGCCTGCGACCAGCCGTCGGTGAAGCTAAGCGGGTAGGGCTGGGGCACTTTGTGTTGGGCCTTCATGTCGAGTTGTGCAATGTGCTTGTTTGCCTTTTCCGTTTTTGTCGTCCAGTGAAGTCTAGGTATCCTTGCTACTTATGAGACTGAGCTTGTTGTGAGTGCCAGCTTTGCCAGGGGATTGGGATTAGGGCTGGTGCTGCACCCTAGTGGACGAGGGGCATCCACTGCTGGAGATGGCAAACCAACACCCTCGCCCCAACACCCTCGCCACGGATTGCCATAGCAGAAAGAAACCCTAAAGCCCTTGAGCAGTAAGAAACGGGGTTTTGAAAAATCCTAGAACCTCACAAAAAAAAAACCTAAACCCCTAAAGTTTTGAAGCATCCTAGAATCTAAACCCTAAACCCCTAAAGTTTTGAAAAATCCTAGAACCTAAACCCTAAACCCCTAATCCCCGAACTGCTTGAACACCGAACCTTAAGCTCTTAAGCTCGAAGTCCCAAACCTTGTCTTCGACATCTCAGATCTGCAGGTACTTCCTGTCGCCCCTTTGGAGTTCTGGTAGAAGTTTGTCCGAAATCCCAGCATAGCAGCTTTTGGGGGACCCTCCGCCTATATAACCCTCAACCAACACAGCCCAGGCTTGTCCGAGAGTGCTGAAACCAACACAGTCTTCCCGAAACCCCACACCTTAAGCCCTTCATGGCGGAGAAGGGAAAAAACCCTTCGCCATTCACCGACATATCCCGGCTTGTACGTCACCTCGCTGTTAGTCTATTCCTTATACACGACGCCTCTTGGCAAAAAACGTTGCCTCGAGCTGGTCGTTCCCACCCCAGGCGTTCCGGGCGTAGCCATTAACCTCAAACCCTCAACCCTCAACCCTCAACCAAAAACCCTAAAGCCTCACCCAGTTAGCAGGTTGTATGTATTGGAACCTTTGTTGTGCACCTGCTTGCCTGCATTGTCCGAGTGTGAGCACCGAAAGCCTCACCCACTAATATAGACGCCTAGCTAGTTACAAACATTCTTCCTTTGGGTTCCTTGTTATGATTATGTAATAAAGGAGCCAAAACCCCTGTTCTAATTATGACTGTCCCTACAGGCCCTACATGAAGCGTAACCGGAAGCCTCCGAAGACCTTCACCGAGGCTCCTGGGGGCCCCAGACCCAAATCCAAAGCCCGACCTGGACTGAGACTTGGGCGACAACTTGGGGGGGGTTTAGGGTTTAGGGTTTAGGGTTAAGGGTTTAGGGTTTAGGGTTTAGGGTTTAGGGTTTAGGGTTTGGGGGGGCTTTTCGGGTGTGTAGGGCTCTGTTTTTTTAAGCATCTGGGGTCGATGTTCATTTTGAGCAGCTTCCTCTGTCGCGGTTAAGATGTTGCGATACGTGTGGCCTGGGGCAACAGGAGCTTCTGAGGGATTGAAGGCGACATCAGGCGCTAATGAGCCTAGCATTTCACGGGAATTTTGAAAATCGTCCTGAAAAGAAGTGTCTTGACAAGGAGTTCCAAGCCTTCCTCAAGACTTCCTTTGGATGCTTCCGTACATTGAGGCAAGTGCTTCCGCTACCAGAAGGAGACGCTCGAGGACCGAGCCCGAAACCCTGAACCCGAGGCCCCAGGACCAGAAGAGCTGACGCCTTCGCTGGGGCCCCGGGTCGGTTTGGCTCGAAGTCCTAAGTTACTCGTAGCGTTGCGATGCTACGGGAAGGTGGAAGGCCATGCTTCAGGTCAGGCATTGAAAGCATTGAGCAGAGGGGAGGGCGAGTAGGCGCAGTACCAGCACTCGCGAGGACATCAATCACATACAGCACAACGTGAACTTCGCTCGGAAAATGTGCCCCGGCATCGCTCTGTCGACTCTGTGTCACACCAGAGGTCCAGTGTAGGAGCCCCAAAACCGAGTCAGATGTTTCCGGAGACCTTGAGAAGAGTCAGGAATTTTTCTCCATGCAAGACCGACACTACCCCATCTAGGTCCCGGTGCCACACCCCAAACCCAAGAGTCTGAAGCCCAAGCGGCTCAGGTTTGAGCCAAGTGAGATCACCCAGGAGATGCTGGACAACGCGAGGGAGCTGCGCTTGCAGCAAGAGGGCAGTAAGGTTTGAGTTTCGGACGCACCGACTGCTTTGAATGGTCTGATCCTCAGGATGCCATCGCCAAGAAGAAAGACATGAAGGAAGACGAGGCGGGAAGAGAAGCATGCATGATCATCCGAAGCAGGAGAAGTGTTGTCAAAGCGGCAGTATTGACATAACCGCATAAGCACAACCTAGAGCCGTGCATCCCTGGCCCTGCCTTGAGCTTTCTTTTGCCGATCTCTTGCCTCTCCTCGCCGAGGCCTCCTCCGTCGACACCAGCAGTCTGTGGTATGTCAAGCTTTCGGAGGAGCCCAACGAAACTGTAAAGTAGCACCACTCATATCTGTGTCATTTGCCACTGCGCTGGCAGCATGCGTCATTCCCGAAGTTCGTGTGATTGATGCCGCTATCTCCGATTGCTTGTGCTTTTTGATGGCCGGACTGCAACTCTGAGATGGTGGTGATGATGCTCACGCTGATGATGGCGTTGAGGACGATGGGCATGGTGAGGAGCAGGAGCAGCAAACAAAGCAGGCTCATCGGAGACGACGACGGTGATGACGATGGTGGCTACTACTCCTGCTGCTGCTACTACTACTGGTTCTGTTACTGCTACTGCTACTGCTACTGCTACTGCCACTGCTACTGCTACTGCTACTGCTACTGCTACTCCTGCTACTACTCCTGCTACTACTACTACTACTACTACTACTACTGCTACTACTACTACTACTACTACTACTACTACTACGACTACGACTACGACTACGACTACGACTCTGACTATGACTACGACTACGACTATGACTATGACTACGACTACGACTACGACTACGACTACGACTGCGACTACGACGACGACTACTACGACTCCCACTCCTACTCCTACTTCTACTCCAACTCTTACTTTTACTCTTGCTGCTGATGCCGGAGGAGTGCGGCAGTAGAGTTTCAGCCCTAAACCCTAAACCCTAAACCCTAAACCCTAAACCCTAAACCCTAAACCCTAAACCCTAAACCCTAAACCCTAAACCCTAAACCCTAAACCCTAAACCTTAAGCCGTACAGTTTCAAGCCGAGCCCCAGGACTTGGCCAAACGAGCAAAGAGCGGAGCCAAGGCTTCGGCTCGGCCAAGGGTGGGATGCAGACAGGTTTTGGGTTAAGGGTTTAGGGTTTTGGGTTAAGGGTTTAGGGTTTAGGGTTTAGGGTTTAGGGTTTAGGGTTTAGGGTTTAGGGTTTAGGGTTTAGGGTTTCAGGTTTAGAAGCTCCGATCAAGCCTGTGTAAAAAGGGTTCTGATTCTGAGGCCAGTTGCAGCAAAAGGGTTTTTGTTTCAACCCGAAGGCTCGAAATTCGAGGTCTTTTGGCTGGTGCATTGAGGCACCAAAGATCCGAACTTGGAGGTTTCAAGAGGGAACCTCCAGGGCTTTGCAGTGACCGTGACCCCCCGGACTCTGTAAAGCTAAGACATCGGAGCCCCCAAGCATCACAGAGAATGAAGCGCGACCACAGATCTCTGCACCTGCCTGCAGGTCTCGGTCAAGCGTGGTGAGGAGGAGCTTCAGGCATGCCTGGTGTCCTATCCAGACAAGGCCTTCGCGGGGTGGAATCTACACACACACACAAACTAACACCAGACGGCACCTGCCTTTGGACCAAGAAAGGATCATGCGTGCCTGAGCTGATGCTTACGATGATGATGGCAAGACAAAGGTGAAGCTGAGGATGAGGATGATTGCAAGATGCACGCCAGCTGCGCAAGTAACTTGTAGCCACTCTGGTGTTGGTCTGCAGCGGGTTTGTGCATCTGCCGTGGGCTCTTGTGGTCTTTTTGTGTCTTGTTCTTGGCTCGGGTTGGGGGCTTGTTTGTCAGGATGCAGAATGAGGCCGATGCAGGTTCTCTTACCAGATGACGGTGTTCTTTGCAGGTTTTTCTTGTACTTCGAATTGAATTGTCTCCTCATCCTGCGTCATCCTTTATCTCCCTAATCATATGACCACCAATACATCTTCTGGTAGGTCGGTGCCCGCAACAGCTTGCGGCACAGAAAGAAGGCCTCCAAGCAACTCGGTTCTTGGGTCCGGGTTGAATCGTTCGGGATGACCAGTTTATTTTTTTCTTCTGCTTCTACCGTGGTCTTGTTTCTTAAGGAAATGCACGCCATGATCAGCATGTCTGGCTGTTCGGGGCATGTTTGAAGGCTTCAACAGAGGTCGCTTTTGGGTTACGGGCTTCGGGGTGTTGCGTTGAGGGTTTCTGAATCCTTAAAATGCAACCCCACTTCCCTAGACAATAGTAAGCCCTGCGATCTGCACGTTCAAAGCACCTAGCCTTAAACGCTCTACGAGAGGGAAAAGTAAGTAGTAAACCCTGAAACCCTCAACACCCTCAGCCCTAGTTTGCCCTAACGGCCCTAAAAACCCGAAGCGCGCTCCAACCCCGAAGCCCTACACCCCTAGAGACTTTTCAGAGCTCTAACACCCAGATTTGCCAAAATTCCGAGAAGCCGCAAGCCCTAAAATCCCAAAGCCTCAGCCCTGAAACCAGAAACAACCCTAATAGTCCTGAGCAGACCTGGCCTATCTCCAACACCCAAAGATCTTGAGCTTCGCAAGCGGTGCTTGGTAGGCTCTCTGGGAGCTTTGCCCTGCGCCCGGCCCGGATGACAAGCGCCTCCGGCATGGATTGTCGAGTCGCGAGGTTTCGGGTGCCCGAGGGCTGCTTCTGATTGAATGTTCTTCCTATCTTCGCTACGAAAAAGTTTTTCACGATCGTGATGATGGTGATGATGAACACGATCGTAGTCATGAGAGCTGGTTTTGCCCCACAAGTTCTTGCAACTTTCCCTTCATCATTTGTCGCTGGCGAGTGGAGGGCTTTGGGGTTCAAGGCCTGGGCTCTCAAGTCCACGTTGAAAGCTTTTTGAGCCGACTCACCCGAAGCCCGAGCTGCTGAAGATCCCAGAGAAGTCGTTCAGAAGGGGCCCCAACAGGAGGTAAGAAAAGGAAGGCGGGATTGTGGGATTCAGGATCCTACCTTCCCACCTCTTGAGCCGTTTGGGTCAGGAAGGTGCCGGATGAGGACCCCTTCCCCTGCGGTGGGAGAGAGAACTTGCGCGACGAGAAGTTCAAGTGGAAACCGGGCGATGCTTTCGAATTCATAGGCGGGGAAACCCTAAACCCTAAACCCTAAACCCTAAACCTTTTCGTCGTGTAGGCGGATGTGGCGTGTTCTCTCGGTCTCGGGTTTTGCAGTCTCGGCCCTGGGGATGAAGGCTGAGAGCAGTTGGGTCGGCTATGATTTCAAAACCTGAGGGCAGGCTGTACAGGAGGGAGTTCCAGGTTCAAGCGGGGTTTCGAGTCTCCAGGGCCTCAGGTACCCTAAGCCCTAGGAACCCGAAGCTCACGGTATAGCACCTGCCATCCGAGAGGCCCTGGCCCAGACCGATCCCTAATTACTCGGTCACAGAAGGTCAGCGGCCCTCGATAACCGACTCGAACCTATGAGTCCTCGCCTGGCCAGTCCGAGTTGTGAGAGGGTAAAACCCTAATTACTAAACCCTAAACCCTACAGAGCACAGATCACAAAGCATCGAAGCAGATGTGACGAGTTCCGAAGCCCGCAGCCCGCAGCCTTACTCGCAACCCCAATCCCCAACGTTCTAGGGTTTCCCGTTGCGAGATGAATTCGCTAGACAGCTAGATTACAGCTAGATACTTAGGTAGCTAAATCGGTAGGTAGATCGGTCGGTAGGTAGACAAGCAGAGAGATAGACATAGATAGATGATAGACATAGATAGATGATAGATAGGTATGTATATATACATACATACATACATACATACATACATACATACATACATACATACATACATACATACGTACATACATACACACACACACATATATATATATATATACATTTAGATGGATAGATAGGTAGACGGGTAGATCGAGCCCCACAGCAAGCGCAGCCGTGGTCTTTTGGGTTCACAGGCGCAGCCCCCGAGCCCAGTGCCCAATCCGCCGAAGCCGCACAGGAAGCTGCAGGAGCTCCCTGGCCCTTCGGCATCCGGGCATGAAGGCCCACGAAGATCCCAGCCTTGCCCACGAAGTTACATTAGGGTTTCAGTTTCAATTGATAGAGAGGGTTTTAGGCTTGAGGGACAGTGTGTGATAAGGACAAGTTGAGGATTGAGAGCTCCGGGTGTAAGGACCCGAAGCCGACTACACCCTCAACACAAACCCCAAGGGTTCCGGATGTGGTGAGGCTCCCCACGCTCGGGATTTCAGGTTTGGAGTCCTGGGGTTCTGAATTCTGATGCTTCAAGCTTACAAGGCTCAGGCCCAGAGGGCCACAACACTTGATAGGACTATTCCTTAGGTTTCCGATAGAAGTTTTACAACATAATATATACCCGAACCCTTGTTCTAATTATATATCTAATTATATACATATATTTACACACACACATA